TCACCGCCCCGTCGGGCTTCGGCTTCAGCGTTTGTCAAGTGGGACGAAATGCTCACACAGCTACCCCGGTGTGCGTGGGAGTTGGGACAAAGAATATGAAAGGGTTTGGAAACTGTAAAGTGGGTTATAAATGTGATTATTATTATTATTATTATTGTTTTTATTAACAATTTCATGTCAGGAACCGTACTGCTACCGTCCAAGGTTTCACGTCCTGGCGTGGAGACCTTCGGCTCATTGTTTTAAGGTTCAAGTATAATAAAAAGTGACTAAATGACGCAGCAGCGTTACAAAACTGGTGGTTATTTTATTTTGTTGTTTTTGTTTTTATTGATTTCAGAGAGAGGAAGGGAGAGGGAGAGAGAGAGAGAGAAACATCAGTGATGAGAGTCATTGATCGGCTGCCTCCTGCTGGGGATCGAGCCCGCAACCCGGGCACGTACCCTGACCGGGAATCCGACCGCGATTCCAACCGCGATCTCCTGGCTCCTAGGCCGAAACTCAACTGCTGAGCCACACCTGCCGGGCCATGGTGGTTATTTTAAACGCTTACAGTGAACAAGTTAATGCTTTGAACTACCCACAAATCCAAGACAAAATAATTTCAGGAGCTATAACATATTTTAACTCAGAGCCCCTATAAGCAGTGAGAACCTGCAGTGGGACACAGGTGTCCTGTGGCCTGAAAAACACCGTCTTCTTTAAATACTGTCCTTCTCTTCCAGGGCCATGTGGTCATCAGTCTTGTTTGGAGATTATGTCAAAGGTCTGTGTGACTGCCCTGGCTGATGTGGCTTGATTGGTTGGAGCGTCACCCTGTACACCAAAAGGTGACAGGTTTGATTCCTGGTCAGGGCACATACCCAGGTTTCGGGTTCAGTCCCCAGTTGGGGCACATGTGGAAGGCAACTGATCGATGTTTCTCTCTCTCTTACCCTTCCTCTTTTCTAAAATCAATTAGGGAGAGAGAGAGAGAAAGTATGTGTCTATCATTAAAAAATAAAATTTTTTTAAAAAAGTCTGTGTGACTGTGAGTCCAGGGTTAAATGTCAATGACCAAAGGCCAACAACCTTGGGAGGTAGGCACCAATATCATCCCCATTTTGCAGATAGGGAAACTGAGGCTGAGAGATGCTGAAATGAAGTGCCTAAGATCACTGAGCGAGTGGCTGAAGCAGGCTGCCAAATCAGAGCTCCAAGCCAAGGCTCAGGCAAGATTTTTCAAAGCTCTCATGGATATCTTTTCACGCATGCATAATGTCAGGGCTGAGAGGACCACCCCAAAGCTTCTCTGCTTCTTCCCAGCCTACTAAGGAAACTAGGTCCAGAGCAGAGTAAGGAGCTGCCAATGTCACAGCTACAGAAAGAGAGCTGGGCTCTCCCGCTTTCCACTGGTACCTCCTCCATGTGATCAGCTCCAGTTCTGTCCTTAGGGGAGGAAGATTTCGGTCAGGTGAGATCCTAGGTGGTCTTCCTTGGGGACAAAGGACAGGGTGGGGTCCGTGGATACAGGCAGAACTTAGAACCAGAAGGCCAGCTTGGTCCTGGGCTTCCAGTCCCAGAGCTACCATTTTCTGTCTCTGTGACCCTGAATGTTGACCTTCCCTCTGAGTCCCAGTCCCTGTGGGAAGAATTGAGCCTCCTGCTGACCTCATGGGGCTGCCATGGGATCAAATGAGATCACAAATTTGAAAGTGCCTTGTAAGCTGTAAATTGCTGCGTACTCAGAAGGTGGTTACAAGCCTGGTGCCACTCCCTTGCCCTTGTTCTACCCAATGCTTATCTTTCTCTAAAAAGAAAAAATATCAACAGTAGTTTACAATGAATAATATAGGTGTGTGTGTGTGTGTGTGTGTGTGTGTGAGAGAGAGAGAGAGAGAGAGAGAGAGAGAGAGAGATTGATTTTTTGAGGCAGTGTGACCCATGGAAAAGAGCACACATGCTGGAATCAGACAATTCTGGGTTCTGAGTTTGCAATCTGCCACTCACCAGCTGTATGACCTTGGTGAGGCACACGATCTCTCAGTGCCTCTGTTTGCTCATCTGTAAAATGGAGACATAGTGATAATTATATCTCAGGATTGCTGGAGAATAGAAATAACATAATGTCACATGATTAGTATAGCATATAGTAAGACCTTGATGAATAGCAAAAATAAATACACATTTATTTAAAAAGCCCTAGGGTTCAGAGCCCTTGGGGCTCTGATCACTCGATAAGGCACTCACTGAGCAGCACGCGCACACACACACACACAAACTCATATCTGGACTCCCCAACTGTGTTCAAGCTGGACAGGTCAGGGTGACACAGGGGGCCAGGTGTGGCACATGCAAGGCCTGAATCAGGTCAGCCTTGACTACATCATCTGTCTGCTCCAGAAACACTACCCTGCCTGCTACCCA